TGTTTGTTTTATTGAGGTTTTTGTTTTGTCTGCAACTGTGTGAGCATGGATTTGTTACTGATGTGAGTGTAATGGTTGATGTTGTTCTCTGATTTAGCAGCAAGAAGTTGTGAAAATTAAAATTTCGCTCGGTGAAGGCGAACCCGATATGGAGCTTCGTTATAAGAAAGGATCTGATCCGATGGATGCTGCGGAAACATTCGTCAAGGTATTTCTGGCTTTGTTCAATCATTCGCAGTCATTGGATTTTGCTGATTGTCGCTTCGGTTCATTAGTTTGGTCGGAAAGTTTTCGGCTCATAAGCTCATTGAAATGTGTTTTCGTGAGGAAGAGAGGTGAATTGATCAATTGTATAGAGCAATAATGTTGTAATGATTGTTCTGAAGGAGAACAGCATTCCGATATCGTATGTTGATGAGATTTGTGAGTACATAAAGACGAATATACCCGAGGCTCGAATGGCAACCAAAAAGAAAATGGCTCAAATGACAGCTAATCAACGTGTTTTGGTTGATGGACAGGTTCGTTCCTTTTGAAGATTGAGTAATACCTGTTCATTTGATTGTTTGGCTCATTTGATTGTCATCATTATTACTAATGGTCTCATCCAGTAAATCAATTTCCAGTTTTTCTTATACTTCGTGTTGAGATTGAATCGTGGAGTCTACAGTAGTTTCTTATGAGAAATAATGCCTGATGATCACTCATAGGTATGGGATTATGTTTTTGATGTGGCCACCGAGGATGGCCGTACTTTACAATTGCCATACAACGTTGGTGAAGACACTAATTGGGCTGCGAGGCGTTTCGTTGAGAAGAACAATTTGCCGAATCAGTTTGTGGATAAGGTGAATTGTTTATGACATTGATGAGTATGGAGAGTAATATTGTTAGTGATGTTATTATCTGATTATTTGTTTGAGCAGTAAATATGACTCATTACCAATCAGTAGTCGTAACATTAGTCACATCGCTCACATACATCATCTATTTGGTTAGCGTACATTGTCCAAATAACGAATTGCCAAAGAAGTATTTGCCACCTCAATGATCACCATATCAATAATTTCGAAAAATTTCATGAACACCGATGGTTTCCTGCACTAATATTGTGATTACTAGCGTTATTATTGTCTTCTTTGAGTGGCTATCGGCTTAACGTCTAAAGGAATTAACGTGATTCTTGTTCAGGTTTCTACTCTTCTGCATTTGCAAGTGCCGGAATTGTCTGCGAGCGCAAGCAGCAAACCTGGTTTTGTTGATCCTTTCACAGGTATGTCGCTCTTTCAAAGTTCAACTTCTGCATTTTTGTCAGCATTATTTTTCAAAACTGATAGAATGTGAACGTGATTCAGTCATTACAGAGGCATCCCTAGATGGTGGTTAGCATTTCCAGTGGTAATTTTTAGAGTTATAATAATTTAAGGCACTGGTCGTTACGTGCCCGGTATGAACTCATCAAGCTCTAACCAAATGGACAGCGTAAGTGATCCGTTCATCGGAGGGAGTCGATATATTCCAGCGGCACAAAATGGCACCGTAAGTGCGATGGATACAGGGGATGGCCGCGTGAGCTCATTCATTCGAACCGAAAACTACCCGAGAGGTCAGAATTTGGACATCGATCGTATTTATCGACTAATAAAGACTTGAAAGAAGACGTTTTGGTTTTATCAATCACAATTTTGCCGGAGTTTTGGGTTCGATGATTGATCATTGATTTTCAGACAAGAAGCATCCCCGGGGCGAACTGGTGCCAATGAATCAATTTTTCAAGTTCAGTTTCGAAAAGCTCTCTTCAAAGGCAGTTGCAAAATTGAAAGAAATGAACGAACTGCAGTCAACATATCGATTAANTTAAGGATGATTGGAGTTTTGAAAAGGAATAAATTATCCGAATGAATTCTCTGAGTTACTAATGAATATTTTGAACATTGTTCGTGAATCAATAACACTGATTAAGTTCGTAATCTTATAGCCTTATTTTGATGTAATATTGTCCGCAAGCGAGATATATTTCAGTTAAGCGCTCTCGAAGCGGTTCTATCAAATTCATCGTTCTCATCAAACAATGATCTCATCTCAGCCATTGATGCGGGTTTATCGTGGAATAACGGTTAATTTTTGCTTGATTATTTGTCTTCCATAAATTTTGATTTGTTGTTTTCAATGGTTTTATGTGTTATTTGATTCGTTATTCTGTCTCGAATCAGACTTTTACTGTTGTTGAACTGCAGTGTTGATTTGTGCTGTAGTTGTATGGAATGGTTTTGCAGATACAATCGTGCCGATATTAGACGTATTGCGATTGGCTCTGCTGAACGAACAGTTCAATGAAGTTTACTGCTCAATTAATGAAACTAATCCAAACGAATCGCACGCGATAAAAACCTTGCAGAAATACAATACACTCCTTGTATGTTGCCTTTTTTTGAGTTGACGTTTTCTTTACGCGACTTATTCGTCATCTCATATCGTGAATTAATGAACAAATTGCATCTATCAGTTTCTATCAATTAACAAGTCGAACTCACAATCGAAAGCAAATTTCGATTCATTCGTTGATTGAATTTTCAATACACCGTCTATAATTCTCTTTGGAT